TTCTGCACCTGAAAAGAGAGGAAAGGCTTCCCTCTCTGCCGTCTCGCTTTCTCCCCAGAATGAAGGACAAGGCTGCCAGAGGAGAGCACGCCAGTCATAAAGGAAGGTGAGTAAAATCACATACACACACTCACACCCCACACACACACTGTAGCCCGTTAGTTCTTTTTCCTGGTTAGCTGCCATGATTATGGCATCTCTGCAGCCAGCTGGCTCTCCTTCTGGAAGCTACCCAGGTGCTGGAATGAGACTGCAGAGGGGAGACAGAAGGGGGGGTGGGGACTGCTGTAGAGTATGGGCCCTGAACCTTCATCTCTGGCACGAGGCTGCAGGTTTTTCATCCTCCAACCCCACGGCTGCAGCTGTTTCAAGACTGGGACCACTGGGTGACCACACTGGCCTGGCAGGTGCCATGTTGAGGACCAGTGCTCAGAAGAGCCACTGGTGAGATGTCAAAGCCACATGTGGTTCCTGAGCCACTGAGTATCACTCCTCTACAGCAAGATTTTAAATATGCTTTTAGATGTCCATTACTCCTTCCAAATAACTATGAATGAATGAATATTTCTTTGCGGTTCAAAGACCATTAATCATTGGAATACACTCTTATAAAAACTGAAGTGATTAATTCTAGTGCAAAAATATGTTTAATCATAAAACCTTACAAATATTTACTAAGCGTAACAATCCAGAGAATCTTAGATAAGTCCTAGATAGAATGATTACAAATCATACAAATAAAAAACTATACATGATCATCCTTCTTATTGTGGAATTTTACCAAGCGGAAGCAGAATTTGGCTATTTGTCTGGAGATAGTTGGATTTTCATTGATCAGAAGTCTCTCCAGGCAGGCCTTATCTGCCTCTAGCTGTTGGTCTGTCTAAAAATGGGGAAACAAACTTATCCCTATAAACTTGATGGAATGGGGACCGAAAGGACATATGGACCAACGATTCCACTTCTCCAACAGAGCAGGGGTAACATCTGTCTTCATATGGAATCTTCCAATATTTCTCATCTAAAAACCTTGAGGGAATAATCGCACAACCAGCCAAAGTAAAAGCTCTTCTATAAGATGGCACATCCAGATGAACAAGATATTTAGCCATATTTATAACATATCTGGACTTTCTAGGGGCCAGGGAAAAAAGGAGCTTGTATTAAATCTTATCACTCTATGTTGCAAAACCTTTGTTTGATGATGTTTTTCTCCTTGGGCACTAGCCAAAAAAACATCAGGCAAAAGGGCATTTTTTTCTAAATTGAATTTAACCATTTACATCCACCTTGGGTGATGACAAATAACTACGTAACACACAACAACAACAAAAATAGTTACATAAAACAATCTATGGAATTAAGCAATCACAATTCCTCTAAATTTAGATCTGGTAAGTGTTGCATATATTCCAATTTATTCCCAAACTGCGGGGGGAGGGGGGGCACTTCAGGGCACTGGCCTGGTAACCTTTCTGCCTCAAATACTGTTTCGAGAAGTCCTGAACACGTTGCAAAACCACTGAAGTAATCTCTGAACATTTACAAGCGCATTTCGAGGATGGCTGAAATGAACTGTGAAGAGCCATGGCTTACCTCCTGGCAGTACTGCAGAATCTCTTCTTTTGTTCCAAAGCAGCTCTTGGTCCCTGCAGTGTCCGGCTCCCATTTCCCGGTCTGGATATTCACGTGCATATTCAGCTTTCCACAGAACATGGCAATCTGAGGCTCTGCCACCGCAAACCCTGTGCCAGCATTGGCAGCAAGCGCCTGTGGGAGGGGGGAGCAATTGTATTTTACATATTATCAGCCAATGTCTTTGTTGTCAATACAAACTACATCCAAGTGCAGGGAATCTGCTATCAAGGACAGAACTTTGCATTTCACACAGCACCTCTCAACCTTTTCTGCGCCATAAATTCTTTACGTATGGTAAACCCTCAGGCTCTGCAGCGCCTTCCTGTCTTTCAGCATTAAAAGGCTAATACGAAACCTGTCGTTTGTGCTTCTGAACCACAGCCCTGTTTTTCATCCACGGATTGACTTCCAAAGCCTTAGAGTGAATGTCAGTTGCCAAATTGCCCCAGGCTCTCTCTGTACAGCAACCATCTGCATCGCGCTGAACTAGGCAGCTATGCACAGTCTGGCCTCCCAAACACCAGCCAGCTCCCAACCAGTTACAGTGGAGAGCGGCAAAGAAATAGTGGCTATTGATGCAGCGGAGCTACAAAAGCCTTCAGGAAACGAGGAAATGTTGCCCTCCATTAAATGTAACCTGTTTTACGGTTCATTACTGGTCAAGGGAGGCCAGTACTGGCACCAGCAGCAAGTAACTGGTCAGTCAAAATGTGGAAAACTGAAAAACACTCGTCAATAAGCTTTATGGCGTTAGCTTACTGAAACAAAGAGCTTGTAGCCTTGACTGATACACTAATTTATGAAGGCAGGCAGACTCCTGGAACAAGATTTCCATTCTGTCCACAAATGTCACACACAACATAAAGTCTGCCATGTGCGATGGGGGGGGGGGCAGCTTCCAAAATGAGACCATAATTCAAGCTCACAGTAGTCATGTTTAACTCAACCAAAGCCCTGTCATATGCTTGTAGCAACTATGCAACTATGCTGCTTCTGGAAGACTCCAGCGCCCAGTTCCTTCTAGGATCTTTAAGGACTAGAATACTGACACACATTTTGTGGCAGCTCTGATAAGACTATTGGTACTACAAGGGCAACTTTGGCTCCTGGCCTTGCGTTCATCTGTTGGAGATTCCTGTAGCAGATGGCCTGTAGATAAAGAGTCCTTGCTGGGCTACAGGGACATGCACAGTTTCATGGACAGTTTGGCCAGTCAACTGGAAGGTGTTTCAGCAGTAAGTAATCTACTCATAGCTGCTCTCCATTAGAAAGGCAATATTGGGTGATGGTAAAAGAAACCATGGATAAAACTCTAGTTAAAAATATGCCATGTATCCCAGATACATTTAAGAAAAAAGAGGTATATTTAATAATGCAAATGTTTACAGCAGCAAGAATTATATTTGCTAAGAAATGGAAAGATGGAAGTGTTCCAACTAAAGAAGAATATGTTTATAAACTGTTCGATATAGCAGAAATGGAGAAATTAACATTTATTATTGAAGAAAAAAGCCTGGAAGCTTTTGAAAATTATTGGTTGGGTTTTTATAGATGGCTGAAAGAGTCAAGATTCGGTTAAAAACAATGAACAAGGTTTATTTTTTGGTATAAGTGTAAAAAGTACAGGTAATTATGTGAATTTCATGAAGATGTCTGCAAATATGTAATTATGAAACAATGATGGTTATTTTTGATAATACTAAAAATTTACATATATATAGGGGGGGCAGGCAAAGGCAACTACTACAGATAAAGTAATGTACTACAACTTTAAAGAAATCTAGGATTTTTTTTTCTCCAGGACAATGAGAACCGGTCCCTGCAGTCCCATTAACCTACAGTGACTATAGGATTTGAAAATAAATATGCTCTCTTGTTAAGAGGAAAACATGTGAGTTAGACCTATTTGGGAGCATCTACAGAAAAAAATAAATCAACTTGACCAGACTAAGCAAGGATTTGATCAGTAAAGATACTAAAGTTGCTTGTCATCACCATCACAAGACAAAAAACTGCTGCTGTTCCTAAAATGAGGTCAAATGAGGTTTATAGTTTTAGATGAGACTCTTCAGAATTACTGTTCGATATTCCCAATTTTTATTATAGTTTTAGGGTTCCTTCGGCTCAAACAACATGCTACATTTTCTTTTGCAACCCTTTTAAGAGGATTTTTTTTCCTTCCCAAAAATGCAGAGACTGGGGCTGCTTTTTCAGTAAGGAGGACAACACGGGGTAATTTTCTCCAGTAAGAATAAGAGTGACTTACAGATGTGTCTCCTGGCCTGGATAGCCAGGCTAGCCTGATTTTGTCAGATCTGAGAAACTAAGCAGCGTCTGCCCTAGCTAGTATTTGGATGGGAGACCTCCAAGGAATACCAAGGTTGTGACGTAGAGGCAGGCAATGGCAAACCACCTCTGATTGTTTCTTGCCTTGAAAACACCAGAAGGGGTCGCCATAACTCAGCTGTCACTTGACGGCACTTTCCACCACCATGGGTGACTCCCCCCCTCCCGGTGAAAAAGCCAGGGGAGGAAAGAGCTAATGCCCATGCCACTCCCTTCGAAAAAGCAAGCCCAGCAGCTGCATTTGGAAAACAGAAAATCTTCAAAGAAAACATAATGTGTCGTTTGTGCTTTTTGACAACTGAGTGGCAACTGAAATGTCTTGGTAAAACCCAGTTTATGTTATGTAAAACCCAGTTTATGTCCAACAACCAGCACACAAATTATTTATAGCTTAACTTATTACAATTTGACTGACCATTTGACTCAAATATATTTCTTTTAAATCTAGTACTACAGTATACTAGCACAAAATCATATGGTTATAAATAGCTAAGCTGTGCATCGTTATATTGATCAGACTTCCAAGATTACATTAGGACCAAATGGTAATTAACATTCTCTAGAAACTTTTAGGTGTAAGTGACTAGGATTGGAGGCACCAGAGAACTACAGCTCTTAAGAGCAGATCCTACCAGCTTGGTATACAGGCTACCATGACAGGTACAGACATTTTCAAATTATGTAACTTAGCCAGGACCCAAACAGAGGACGATTTTATCACTTTATTCTCTTAGAAATCAGAAGAATATCACTGACTTAACTGAAGGATATGTGACATAGGATGCCTTTAGCCTCAAAAAGTCAGCCTGTCATTACTGGGATAAGGAGTGTCCTTATCCTCCAAAAAGCCTTTCAGGGCATGGAGACATAACCCACAACAGCATGCATGTAAAAAAAAACAGTTTTCAAGTTTGACAGTCCATGCTGGATTTATGGTTTTCAAAATAAACTTGGCACGACAGTTAGCTGACACGTCAAATAATATCAACTGAGTACATCTGACCAAAGTCAAATATTGTCATATATTCTATGGAGCCAAAACTGTCACTGTATAGTTTGCCTTTAAAAAAGAAGTGTAATATGTTTCCAAGGACAGGAGGGATGGCTGCTTGACTCATGCCCCACCGTGGTCGGTCAAGGACAGATCTAGTGCCACAGCAAAGACTGCCTTCCTGCCCAAAAATGCCTGCAATTACAGGAGGCGGCCAATAAGAATTTGCCTACTTAGCAGGAATAAGGAATGCCTTTTAATAGCTGCTATCACTTTGCTTTAGTCTGTTCCAATTTTTTCATTCTGAAATTGTAGGCTCTCTCTGCTGTGGGGGGTGGGGTGGGGACCCATGCAGCGAACTGTTCATTTATCTTCACTAACACTGCTAAAACGATGAGTAAAACAATTAATTACCATTTGTCATTGTTTTACAACATTTTTAATTAACACCAATATAAAACCCGTTGATGAATAACCACACCTTTTCTGTTATAGGGAAGTTAATGCTTTAAAATGCTTGATTAGACGCTTGATCAAACCTTTTCAGCCTATCAAAAGGCCCATTTCCATGCTCAAATTGCAAGGCGGGCCTTAAGTACTTAAGAGGGCAAATTATATATATACCTGTATAAACACACACACACACTCCATATGCCTTGACTGTGTTGGGACAGGCCTTGACAAATTGCCTTTACTTAAGGAGCCACCCAAAACATTTAGGAACCAGATTAATTTTTCAGTCTTCAGGGTTTTATATTTTAGGGTCCACATTGTCTCATTATTATTGCTACCACAAAACCTAATCCTAAACTCTTCATCGTTTCTCGTAAAAAAATTTTAAAAGCTACTAAAGAAACAGTGTATAAATAAAATATGGGGTACTAGTTATTATCACAACAAAAAATACTAACCTCTAATATCTCTCCAATTTCTCATAACATTATTGCTTTACAAGCTCCATGTAAACACTGGAGGACAGTGCTCACTTTGGCAGCACATATTTTATACTGGAACAATACTTAAGCACATAAAGGAACCAACTGGTTGATTACCAAACTGATCTGTCACCATTGGTTAACAAATAGACAATAAGAACTATGCATTTTTATGCCATAGAACAAAACGTAACCCAATGTGGAATGATAAATAAGCTTTTTACTTCTAATGAGAATTACCAAGAGACACTACAGTAAATGACTGCTGAAAATACTAGGCAGGCACCACAAGTACATTTCTAGGCACCATAGCATGCCGGCACCTGGGATTTGTCAAGCCCTGTTAGGAGACAGCCCTGTTTTACTCCAAGCTTGCCCTAGCTAATGTGTTTTTTTCATTTATACAAAAGAATTACTGCAACAGTGCAAAGATGAAAACCTCACAGATGTTGTACATAATATATAGTCACTTCATGGTGTTTATTCTTTTCACAGAAGGACGTCAACAGACAGTCATTGAAGAAGGACGAACTTCCCCAGAGCTAATCGTTCGTTTCGAACTCTCTTTATCAAACAACGGTCTCCTATTAAAGATAAACAACGCTCAATGCTAGGGGAACCATCCAGCCACAACATCATATTAATAAACAATGTTTAACTACATTTAAAAAGGAATACAGTGTTTCGTATTGGGGGGGGGTTGTGGGGGGATTCTCACATAACTCTTATCTCCCCACCTCTGAACCCAAAGTGACAGTTTTGTGTCTAATGGGGACATGCAAAGTATTTCTTTTTAAAAAACAGCAGTCCCCACTTTCAAAATCTGAAAACCCCTGCTGTAGATCAAATGCGCTCA